AGGACTATTCTTATCTAAGCACTAAACTAACGCTAGCACTAAACTAACGCCTATAATGTCGTCGTTGTCCTATAGCAGCTCTAGATTGTACGCGCCTAGCGGCGAAGTAATAGCGGTAGACTAGAGTGCGTACCTAGCGGTAGACTAGAGTGCGTACCTTGTCGGGAGTGTTTGTAAAGTCGAAGGGTTTGGCTAGGCGTACGATAATAGCTTAATAGCTAGCTAGGCTAGGCGTACGATAATAGCTTAATAACTAGCGTTACTCTAACTAGCGCCTAGTAGCGAAGTAGTAGCGGTAGACTAGAGTGCGCGCCTAGTAGCGAAGTAGTAGCGGTAGACTAGAGTGCGTGCCTAGTAGACTAGAGTGCGTGCCTAGGTAGACTAGAGTGCGTGCCTCGTTAATAACCGGCTAGCGAGCGCAGAGCAATTCTAGCCTTAGGCAGGCATTCGACTAAAAGTGCGATAATATATAGCCGCTATTATTGCCTTGCTATTGTAGCTAAATAGCGCAATCCTATTAGTAGAGGCAAACCTTACCTGCGATGCGCTAATATAGACCTACGCTTCCTAGTTTAACTTCTTCTTCTTCTTCTATATATACTAATACACTAACACCTCTAGTAACATACTAGCTATCGGCGTATACAATAGTATCGATACCTCTTTGTCGTATATAGGTAGCTCTATAGCGATTAACACTATCTCCTAACTAGTCCTGCGGCTTGCTACCGATAGAACCGCTTAAGTTAGTTAAGGTTCCTCGGCAGGTAGTTTGTTTAGTCCTTTTAGTCTCCGATAGGCTTTGTCGACGTAAGACGTTACGAAGGCGACTCTCTTAGCGAGTAGGTATACTATAGCTTTAGCGGGCGTCGACTACGTATTTAACCGAAAGAGTATAGTTATTGTTAGATCGCAGTCTTGTCTTAGTGCAATAGACTGCGGGTCTTAGGTAGATTAGCGGAGGTAAAAACTCTTTAGTAAGGTATACCTATAATGCGGCTAATAGTCTAACTCGGTAAAAACTCTTTAGTAAGGTATATCTTAAGTAGCGGCTCGATAGCGACTCTCCTACTAAGTAGGTTAATAGACTAAGTAGGTTAATAGGTTCGTAGCATTGCTATAGGTCTAACTCGGTAAAAACTCTTTAGTAAGGTATACCTTAAGTAGCGGCTATAGGCTTCCTACGTTCGGATTCTTTATAGGATAACATACGCGCATCTAGTTAAGTCGGCGTAACGCCTTCGTTAGGACTGTTAGTTATAATAACCTTAGTCGTTACGTAAGGGCCTCTAGTATACTTAAGCCCGAAGGCGCTTAGTCTTAGTCTTTACTACTGCTATACGACTGCAGCCCTTTGCGTATTAAGACTGCTATTCGACTACAGTGCGCCTCCCCTTCTAGCAAGCGTATTAAGACTATTATCCGACTATAGTACGCCTCCTCTTCTAGCAAGCGCATTAATATTGCTATACGACTGTAACGCGCTCGATAACCTTTTTTTCGCGGTATCTCTAACACTAAGGGCGCGGTTACACTCTATTATTGTCTAGGTACTAATAAGTATCGCTTTAGCGATCGCTATCGTATTTCGCTTAATAAGTCCCTTCCTATACACCTCGCGTACTATAGTTAGTAATAGAATGCGTTAATTGTTACGCATTGCGCGTAGTATATAGGCTATATATAATACTAGTATACTTCGGAGTATATGCTTCTATAGCCGCTTAGTGCCGCTAGTTAATTAGATCCCCGGACGCTACTGTTCGTTTTCTCTACCTTATATAGTAACTAGTTATCGGAATAATCGTTCTAGGGAGAGTCTAAGTAATAGAGGGCGTTAACGTAAGAGGGCTGTCGTAGCTTCTCGAAGGGTGCTTTTACGAGCGCTCGATATATATTATCGCCCTACGTATCTATCCTTACTATATATGTTATAGTGCCTATAAGAGTATACGGTGCAATAAGTATAGTGCTAGTCTCGCTAGTCTCGCTAGTCTCGCTAGTAACTTCTCGCTAGTCTCGCTAGTCTCGCTAGTCTCGCTAGTAACTTCTCGCTAGTCTCGCTAGTAACTTCTCGCTAGTATTAGTAACTTCTCGGGTTTCGGAGGCGGTTCTTAGTGCCTAAGGCGGCCGTCGTTATCGTATTAGACACTTTTGTTAGCGCTATTTGCTAGAAATGCGCTTAATCGACGTATCTCGCTATATTAGTAATATACTATTATAAAAGTCGTAAAAGTCGTAAAGTCGGTATTATAAATACGCGGAAGGAAGTAGCTATAACGTTTAATCCTACTAATTAAGCGCTCTACTATACTAAATCCGGGGTCTTAGCGGGACTCGGTATCCTTATCGCTTCCTCGAATTTACGCTTCTCGCCTAGCTCTTATATACTATCGACACCTACGACTATCGATACCTACGACTAGCTTAGCGAGCTTATAAGGACATAATAGAAGGGTAGTTAGGAAGGACCTTATCAAATGCTAATTCTAGTGCTATCCCTATTGCTAATTCTAGCTTAACTAGGCATTATACATTATACGCTAGCTCTCGTAGAAGTAGCTAAACTAGGCATTATACGCTAGCTCTACTATACGCTAGCTCTCGTAGAAGTAGCTAAACTAGGCATTACACATTATACGCTAGCTCTTATAGAAGCAACTTAACTAGGCACTGCTATATACTAGCTCTCGTAGAAGCAGCTAAACTAGGCATTATACGCTATCTCTCGTAGAAGTAGCTAAACTAGGCTAGCTCTCGTAGAAGCAACGCGATCGAGCGTAGTATTACGGCTTACTTTTCCGGGGATAGGACAAGGACCTAGCGAGCTTATAAGGATATAATAGAAGGGTAGTAAGGAAGGACCTTATTAAATGCCAATTCTAGCGCTAATTCTAGTGCCAATTCTAGTGCTATTTCTAGTGCTATTTTACCGCTAATTGCAGCGCTATCTCTAGTGCTAGTGCTAATTCTAGCGCCAATTCTAATACTAGCGCTAATCTCTACTACCTACTCGGTAGATACTAGGATAGGATGTCGTCGTTAACTCTACTACTACGGCTGCTCGCTATACTTAAGCTCCTCGCACGCGCGCCCTCGCTATATAGACCCTTAGTAGCCTAAGTAATACGAATATTGCGACTACTACGACGACTAATATAAGCTTGTATTAACTGCTTAGTTGCTTCTTCTACGGTAATATCGTACTCCTCGTCGACGGCCGGATTAGTAGAAATAGAAGCAGAAGCAGAAGCAGAAGCAGATTAGGCTTAGCTAGGGTCTAGTTAAGCACTACGACGACGACGCTTCCTAGCGGGTAGTGCGTTACTATTAGAAGGACTAGCAGCATCGTTGCTATTAGATAGAGGGTTAGATAGTACCGCGGTAGCAGTCGTCTGCTAAGCCTACTAAGCCTACTAAGCAAGACTGTTCTATATACTAGACTAGCGGATAGTGTTCGCAAATATAGAGCGTCTTAGGGACTAGTTTAGGTCGCGTAGGTCTACCTCTATTTCCTCTCGGGTCCTAGGTGCTACTAGCCGTAGTTCGGACGAGCTACCTTTACCTCCTATAGTCTAGTTATAATACTCTATAATAGTAGCCGCTATATCTTCCTTAGCCTTCTTTGTAGCCTCCTCTTTCGCCTTCTATTCGGATTTATATGCTTCCTAATTAGTATATACCTGCTTAGTAATGCTAATAATAATAGCTAGCAATTCTTCGAGGTTATCCTTGTATTACTAATTATTCAGTTCTAGTACGACCTGTAATAGCCTATCTATACTAAGAGTTAGATCCTCCTAGGCATCGTATAACCGAGCAAGTAGGAAGACCTCCGATATAGACTATATTAGTCTGTCTTTTATATATATACTAGCTAGTATACGGAACAAGCGGTTCTTGCGCGGGTATAGGGTATCGACCTTCTCCGAGCACTACTTCTTAATGTATTTGAGTGTATAGCCAGGTCTCGTGCCTTTGCCTAGTAGATTAACCGGCTTAACACGCTTTACCGGTAGCCCGGGCAGCTCGGCTATTAGGTTAGTGTTATAGATATTGCAACAGTCCTTTAGATCTAGCTAGCCTAGTAGGTATAGAAACTAAGTTAAATGCTCTCCGTAGTGCTCGTTTATTACTACGCGAAAGCAGCGACTAGGGATCTTAAGGTAATCGTTTAGGGCACCTAAGAAGATCTTTAGAATCTTCTTTCGGCTCTCTAACTTAGACGTATTCTAAGTATTGCTCTCCTTAGATTTGCCTTTACGACGGGGCGTATTATCTCTAGTATCTGTCTTAGTATCGCTATACACATCATTCTAATTGCTCGCGCCGCCGATATCCTCGCTAGGAAGCTCTTGTCGCAGTCTACTAGGTCCGGCAGCGCGTATACGACTACGACTACGACTACGACTACTGCCTCTGCCTCTGCCTCTACTACGACTACGACTACGACTACGATCGCTAGCCTACGACTGTGTCTGTATTAGTAGAAGAATAGAAAGCATACTAGCGCCTTCTAGCATTCGCTTAATATAATCTCCGGTATAATATAGTACAAAGAAGAACGCCCGAGGCCGATAGAAGTATAGCATATCGAAGAATCTCTCTAAGTATAAAAGAGCTAGTCGTCGAGCAATGCGGCTAAGTCGCTATCAAAGGTTACTAGTATTACGAGTAATATTGAACTTCTATTAGTATACATCCGCGATGTCTAGCATATCTAGACCGATACTAGCGGCAGTAGTTGCTACTATATAGCGAATATTAGAGTCTAGCTTATAATACTTATTATACCGATTATCCTAGTCTAGCTTAGGTACCTTTATAGTATAGAAGGAGATAGTACGGTAGACATCAATACTAGGACCTGCGCCGTACTAATATCTCTTAGTATAGTCCGGATTGTCCTTAGTTAAATATAGCAACTAGCTACGGGCGATATTAACGAAGTTAGCGATATACTTATAGCCGTCGATAAACACTAAGGACTTACGCACATTCTATAGTGTTACTAATCCCTTCGTAACCTCCTTCTCTTCTCTATTAGGAATTGGCGGATAGGATACGGCATTGTCGATTACTATATATAGCATATCGTAATCGGTTAGATACTCCCTCGGAATAAACTTAATAATGTATATAATTTCCGGGCGATCGATACTACTACGGATAATCTTAGTCTCGTACGGATTAAGTCCCTCTTTGCGTATACTAGCATACTTTATCGTATACTTAGTACACTCTTTATCTATAGTAGCCGAGGTTAATAGAGTACTAGTGTCGATACGTAAGCGATCGCGTAATTGACCGAATTACGAGTATTTATCGTAGAAGCTAGAAGGTTTACCCTAGTTATAGATTAGATATACCTTATCGATAACAACTAGGCCGACCTTCTCTCGTATACGCCCGTCGTTTAGTAGCGAGAGAAATTGCGGTAATGCTGCCTATTCTAGGCTAAGTAGAATATGCTAGAGCTTGCTATTAAGGATGTTCTTAAACATGCCTAGGTCGATCTTCTTAGTTTTAGTAGAGATATATACTAAGTAGACTAGACTACTAGTATTGCTAGCTATACGCTCGATTGCTACTACTTGTTCGGCGCTTAAGCGGTTTAATAGCACTACTTAGATAGTAATTATACTAGTTAGCATTATAAAGCCCTAGAATAGTAGACTCTTTCCCTCGCCTATACGAGCAATAAATAGGACATTATTCTAGCTATAGATAAGTGCGTATATTACTATCTTCTACGCTAGTATAGGAACGAATACTAAACTAGGGTACTTAAAGTCGAGGAGTTTCGTTAAGCCCTTCTCGATAATTTCCGCCTAGTACTAAACAGTCTCCTTAAATTAGCCTGCTTGCTATACTAACTCTTAAATACGCGCGAGGGATGTCTCTAGATCTATAATCTTCTCGATACGCCGCTTAAAGTGCCGCGCCTATTCCGACTTTAGTTAAGGCAGCTTTATCGGAGAGATACCGAAGTCTAGACGTACGCGTATAACAGCGGAGCGACCTAGTAGTAGTGCTTGATATAGTTCTTAGCGCTCGAGTTGCTGCCTCTTCTAGCGCGCGGCCTTCTCGGCTAGGCGCTGCTTACGGCGGGCTTTATCGCTAGCTATACTAGATACTAGATGCTAGATGCTAGATGCTAGATACTAGATACTAGATACTAGATAGACCTCGAGTCGAACTTGTTAATTAGCGGCCTCGAATGGTTTAGATAGCTTTCTCCGGCGGCGGTAAGGTCTAAATTGGACTATCGATTTAGCGCACTTTAATAGGCAGCGGAGCTTGCGGGACACTTAAAGTTTGTAACTACGTATTAGGTTTGTCGAGATTAGGCGATAGGTTAAAGTTCTAGATGTTAGAGGCTAAAGGGTTAGTTTGCCCTACCGAGTCGAGACGAGTATACGACTAAATTATATAGTAAATAGACACGCGGAGGTTATAGAGGGCACTAGAAAGATAAACCCCCTACACTTTGTTAACGTAGAAGGGCGTCGTTTGTTTGCTCGTAAAGCATATAGGGGTAGGTAAACGAGTTAGTCGAGAGTAGCAATTTACGTTTATCGATAATAACTTTAGCATTTCTAAAGCGACTAGCTTATTAAAATAGCGGATATTCTTAATCGCTAAATTATCTAGGTCCCGTCTCTATAAAGTGCTATACTACGACTAATAGTTATTAAGCTATATAGCCTATTCGACATGAAATATAGTAGTAGTAACGCAACCTATATCCGCTAGCAACGGTTTAGCTTTAGGCGCTTCGCTAGAATAAGATCTCGAATAGCGCTAAACCTAATGTAGTATAGTGTAGAAATAGAAGTTACGAACAGTATATATACGAATTCAACTACGAAGCGCCTAAATAGAGGTAGCTAATTACTGCCTTAGGTATTATACAGATTGCGCCCGTACGCCCTACAAAAACCTTATCTTCTACACTTCCTTATACCTGCCTTATCTTTCTAGTCTGTTGTATTATGTCCGTTATTCTATAAGCCGTTAGATACCCGTATACCGAAAGAAGTCGTAGTTGCTAAAGAAGTGCCTACTTAACTTTATCCGAGCAGAAGCGATAAAGTAAATGTTGTTTATATATTGCGGCTAATAAGCCTTAATATTGTGTTTGTTATACTAATACTGCTTGTAGTTAATAGCAATTGAGTTGCTAACTTATAAGTTTAGCCTAGTAGAACGTCGTATAGCAGGTTTGATTATACTAGCCCTTATCTCTAATCGTACTAGGTATAGGGTGCGCGGCTATAGAAGATTGTTAAGTACGTCGTAGCTATAGATAGCGAGGTGTCCGGAACGGAGTTTAAATAGCTATAGGTAGTTGCCGTAATAAACACCTACGAGGGTCTTTAAGCTGTCTACTGTTTCTAAGATAAATAAGTAGTCTAAGTCGACTAAAGCTGATTTGATACAGAAGAGACCTGTCTATAGCGGGTGCTGCGACTTCGGTCGAATGTAGGTATTCTTTAGTAGCACAAGGTTGCCTTTCTTATATAGGTACCTCTTAACTGTTCGATTGAACCTCTTCTTACGCCGAATAGCTAACCTCTCGCTAGCATTTCGTACTACTATTTAAACCCTGCTTCGCGATGCTATATACTAAATAATACGGAATAGGCCTCCGTAAAGGGCCTTAATTGTTTTAGCGGATTGTATTAAACTCTCTACTATAGAGACCTATAACTCTACTGCCTTAACTCTATCTAGTGCGTTTATTAGTTCCTATCGTCGCGGAGATAGATATTCTAGCGCCTTATTAGCTAACTCTTCCGGTCGGAGGCCGAGTTTAATCTCTACTAGTAAGAAGCTAATGCTTTCGATATACTTGTAATTGTATACTTTAATGCCCTTCTACGCTTCGTTAACCTAGTTATTAGTTGTCTTTACTAGGTGTCTATTCTTATTAATCTCGTACGTGCCGCTAGAAGCGCTACGTTCTAAGCACCTTCGAATAATACGGATAATAGCTTCCGCTATTCTAGTTAGGCTCTTTGATCCGGTTAGACCTAGTTGTAAATAGATGCCTCTTACTCGTAGAATGTCGTCTAGTATCGCGAAGTCTATACTAGGGTCGTAAAAAGCGATTATTAGGTCTATAGTCCTATCGAGGATTTTTGCTACTATATTGCTAACCGTTGCTACCTCTTTATCTAGCAATAGCTCGCCTTCTGCGAAGCGAGATATAACGTATACTCTAACTAGGAAGTATCTAAATAGCTTTAAATAACTATAGGTCTTAACTAGCTTAAAAGCACCTATTAAGTCCTATTCTATTACTTTACCTAGATATAGGGCGTTAAATAGTTTAAAGGGTTGCGTACGGAGGTCGTTACGCTAGAGGGCGTATATAAAACAGCCTTCGATATAGTCGTGTATGTCTTTAATTATAGATAGCTAGAACACTCGGTTTACTAGCTTCTAGTATACTACTCGCTTATTAAAGTAACCGTTCTTGTCGTAGACCTGCTATAGCAATAGTGCTACCTTATAAGCTATAATATAGGGTACTTAGGTAAACTCCTTATTAATCCGGTTAGTATATCGTATATACTAGAGAGTGCCTGTTTCTTAATTATATCTAAAGTTGCCGACGACGACTTTAAAGTATCGCCTTATTGATTTGGACTATGTCTAAGGGATCTGTTAATACTTGTAATAGCGCACAATATCGCCGTGCTAGCGCTTAGTAATCCTGCGGTTGTCCGGGTGTACTATAATGTCTTCCGTACTTGTATCCTTATAACACTTATACTAGCATTCCGGATCGTAGTAGGTAGCGTCGTTCTTTCGGTGTATATAGCGGATCTCGGTGCTAATAGTTAAGTAATTAGTCGTATAGTTATCCTCGCTAGTCTCTATAGGTAGCGATAATAGTGTTCCTATTAGTATCTATAGTATAGGTATACCTTCTTCCGTATATCCCTTCGGTTCTCTATCTTCTTCGTCCTATTTAAATAATGCTGCTATATATAGCGACTCCCTTAATTCTAAGTCTAACTCCCTCTCTTTCTTAATTCGATCTCTTACTCGTATTAATGCCTTGCCTAGTAGGTTCTAACCCTAGTCTCTCCTATTCTTGTTAGTATCGTAATCCTTAAAGCCTATACCCTAAATACGATTAGTCGGTGAGGCTTCTATAAGCTTACGATCTCCTATGCCTAATAATATATTAGCTAGGTAGGGGTGCTACTAGAACTTGAGCTAATTGCCCTACTTAACAATCTCCTCGCGAACTATTAACTATTGTAGCGCTATTTAATTAAAGCCGAGAACTTCTCTACCTAAGCGCTTCTATTCTCGTAGCTCTAGCGTGTTTATAATGCGTACTGCTTGCCGGAAGTCGCGGAAGGCTTTAGCCTTCTTTATTATTATATATTATTCCGCGCAATTAAAGGATAGACCCTCGTTATCGAAGCCTAATAGATGCTATTAAGATAGGAAGCCGTACTGCTATAATAGTAACTAGAAGTATACCGGAGCTTTATAAAGGCCCGCTTCTTTAATAAGGAGTCCGCATTTCTCGCATTATACGCTATAGATACGCCGGTTATAAGTGCGGCAAGTAATAGCAATCCGGTTGTTGTTACTTATATATTTAGTTAGAGTAATTACTTAGTTGTTATTAACGCGGTTTTCGAGCGTATTAATTTCGTGTTCTTGCTTCTTAAACGCGGTATTGTTACTGTCCTTTCCTGCTATTGCACTAGTAATATATCTTATTAGCTCCCTATCGTCCTTCCCCCTAGCGAATAGTTAGTTTATCGTCTCGGTAAACCCTCCTTTGCCGTCTTTCTAGATCTAGATATTGTCTCTAGCGTAATTGTTAAGTTCCTATTACAAGGTCCGCGTATTCTTATTAAGCTAGTCCTCGCTATCGAATATTGTACGACTTAAAGTATCTACCGCGACGTTTCTCTTTCCCTCGATATATTCGATCTTAATATTATACTTGCGGAGCGTCTCCTACTATCGGGCATATATTCCTTCGGTAATAGCGTTAAGGAATCCGGTAAGCGGCTTATAGTTAGTATAGACTGTTAATGTCTGCGGGCCCTAGAATATATATCTAAACTTATCGACGAAGTAGGTAATCGCTCGTAGTTCGCGCTTATAAGTGCTATAGTTGCGCTCCGTTCGACTAAAAAGGTAGGCATTATAAAGGATTAGTTTAGGTCGGCTCTTGTCTCCGCTATAGTGTTAGTTCTACCTAATAAAGAAGCCTACACCTTTATTAGATACGTCCGAGAAGGCCTCGTATAGTAGTACTAGATCGTGTACG